AAAATAATCTTAAAAGATTCTTCTATTTACTAAAACATTCCAGTTAATTCATATTTTTTATAAAAAATATTCCTTATAAGAAATATAAAACCAATTAAATATTCAATTCATGTTACCGAATAATATATGTATAATTGAAAATGTGATTATTATTTGACTTTAATTACATTCAAAATGGTTATTTATTTGAGCGTTTATTAATGAAAAAAATGCTGATTTAATGATGAAGGAAAAAGATTATAATACTGATATATTTGACTTTTGAGTGTGCTTAATAATTTTCAAGGACGCTCTACAAATCTCGTGTATGTATACAGGAAATGTTTGTATGTGTGTGTGTGTGTAAAACTAACAAATGCATTAATTATTTTGTATTTTTTTTGTGTCAAATGTCGTAAAAAGCCCGTTAATTGTCAAAAAAAAACGGGGCTCTCTGATTGGTCGGTAAACAGTTCATATATTGTTACTCCATTTTATTATTATTATTGAAATTTGCGCAAATGAATAAGTTATAATTAGTAAACAGTGGATTGATTTATCAACGAATTATGGAAAATTATAGCTGTGAACTCTGAGTTACAAGTAGATTTTCAATAGTGTTGTTTGATGATAAAAATTAGTGTAATGTCAAGGTATGTGACCAGTTGAGATTGAACTAAAAGAAAGGTAATTTTGTTTAAATGAAACTAAAATTTTTCGGATTTTACTTCGCGTTTTATTTTTTATTAGAAACTACATACTCCCGACGTTTCGGCTACTTTTCAGCAACCGTGATCACGGGCAGACATCTCGTCTGAAAATCCGAAAAATATTAGTTTCATTTAAATGAGTACTCGCGAAAATCTTAGATCGGGTAATGTTATTCGTTTTGATAAAAAGTATTATGATAGTTTTAATTAGTTACACAAATACCTAAGTAATTTTGTTTGACTTGTTTGTTGTTTTCAAATCATAATAATAAGAATGCTTAAATTTCCACTGGATAATGGCTATTCTTATTTAAATATTTTACTTTTATAAAGCTGTGATGAACAGATCGTAATCGTTGTAAGGTACTTTCGTGGCCCAGAGGGATTTGAGAGATTTATTAAGTATATAGGTGTTCGTTCTGATCGGACTTCATTTCAAATTTAAATCAATACTTGAGAAAGATATGTTTAGCAAATTAAGCAAAGTTTAGCAATTTAAACTATGTACATACTAAAAAGCTATTAATACAGAAAGAGATTATTTTCCGTAAGCGAGGGTGCGCGTGCGAGTGTCGCCGTAGCGATGACGGACAAGCGTTATGCCTCCTCTACACGTAGACAGATTTGTCTGCAGACGTCCGCAGACGCATCCGCAGATGAATCTCTACGAGCCGTCCACACGTCGCCAGGTCGTTCAGTCTATGTTGGTTCTCGTCAGATGCAACACGTACGCACGCAGAATGGATATAGAGACCGTTGCTGCCGCAGCTATTTATTTATTTAGTACCTACAAGTATTATTTAAGCGTCTATCGCAATAGAGTTATTAAAAAAAAATGGAGAAGAAGAAGGTGGTGGATGCTGACTATACATAGAAACCGAACAAAGGAAGTGGGATTTTTTTATTCATAATATAACTTGTACGCTTTTTAATCGACTTCAAAAAAAGAAGGTTCTCAGTTTGACCTGTATGTTTGTGTGTATGTTTGCGGTTTTCATAAAAGGATTTGTTACATTTACGTAGAGGTTATAGTATATAATACTTCTTAGTTTAATGATGACCTTCGGCAATATACTTGGATATTCTTACGGGTTAGTGTTTTTGAAGTTGGTTCTCTTTTCTAAAAAGTTTTTTTTAACGTAGGTAACGACTTCTTACATTACTCTGTTTCTTCGCAGGAATAGCATGGAAAACCAGTTTGCAGAACTATATGCAGAGCCCTCTGGAGAATTTATAATATAATTTTGTTCGAATGTCTAGCAGCGATTTTGAATATTTACTACAAAAGATATCTCCAACGATTGCTAAAAAAGATACAGATTGGAGGGATGCCATTCCAGTGAAAGTGCGTTTGGCAGTAACATTAAGATATTTAGCTACTGGTTAAAAAAGAACGGCGAAAATCACGCGTGCACTCTCACTCGCTTCCCGCTGAACACGGCCTTTTTTACCTACCGCCGTTTTTTTCTTGCTTGTTGAAATGGCAAACATGAGCACAGAGGAAACATTTAAATTTCTGGAGCTGTATCAAGCAGAAAACTGCCTGTGGAATCCCAAAAATAAATACCACAAAAATAAAAATGTTGTAAGTACACAATTCATTCATTTTATTTAACTATCTACTTACAAATTCAGTTGAGTTTACTGTAAATTGGTTATTAGATATTAACAATGTGGATTTATGACGGGTAGGCAATTGTTATTTTAGTTCGAATTAAAGCCGCATTGAAACACGGTCAAAGTTATAATACAGTTACAATACAACTTATTTTGACCACCTGTTATTATGCCCATTGATATAACCACAATGATTATACTTACTTATTTTATTTTTTCAGATTAATGATTCATGGAAACGTATTGCTGATACGATGGGCATTCCAGTGCATGAGTTAAAAAAGAAAAAAGATAATCTTCTTAGTACATTTAGAACGAATTTAAAAAAAAGAAATGCATCCATTCGGTCAGGGGCGGGAACAGAGGATGTGTATCACCTTCTTCTTCTCCATTTTTTTTTTAATAACTCTATTGCGATAGACGCTTAAATAATACTTGTAGGTACTAAATAAATAAATAGCTGCGGCAGCAACGGTCTCTATATCCATTCTGCGTGCGTACGTGTTGCATCTGACGAGAACCAACATAGACTGAACGACCTGGCGACGTGTGGACGGCTCGTAGAGATTCATCTGCGGATGCGTCTGCGGACGTCTGCAGACAAATCTGTCTACGTGTAGAGGAGGCATTACACAGCTAGAGATGCGGGGGAACGGACGACGCGAACAATAGACGCAGCGTGCACGGCGCATCCTCGCTATATACAATTAATAAACAAATATAGAAAGGAATATAAATTTAAATTTACAATACAACACATCTAAGTAGCTCCGCCACATATCATTATTATCAATGTTTTAGAGGAGGAAGCGATGAAAATTGGTATTTTATTTTCAAACATATTCCGCTTACCTTACCCCAAATCTCTGTGCAGGCCACTGGTGCTTATATACATATATGTATGTACATTCATATACATAATTAACATTTCTCATACAATTATTTTCTGCTAACAACTGTTTTAAATTTTCTTCCAAAGCTTTACTTATTCGTCTACTGAATATTTTCAGTATATTGGAAGTATATTTGAATATATGTACGTTTGAAGTATATTTCTCGTTACTGCTGAAGAGTTAATTGCACAAGTCTGCAATATTAGTGTTTGTTCTCATTCAACTTACCGTAGCAGATGCTTCTTAAGTAAAAAGTTTTCATTTTTTAGCTATATTGAGTAGTTTCTCAATGCGGCTTTCTCTTCGTCTACCTAGCAATTTTCCCAGCTTCAGCCAGGGTCTGCCCTACATGTTGTGAATAGTTTTGGCTAATTGTTTTAACGACCGGCCGCCTGCCTGACATCAACCCTCGTTGGGAATGCATTAATCAGTGATGTCTAAATACTCTTAGAAAGTACATATGACTCGCAAAAATCAAATTGGTACTTGCCAGGATCGAACCCGCGCCCTCGTGCATGAGGGGTGGGCCTTTTAACCACTAGGACACCACTGACTTCATGCGGCTTTCTCTTTCTTTGTAGGTCAATGACTTCATAAATCTGCCTATATAAATCGACTTTCAAAATTCTTATCTATTTTGTAGATCATTCCTAATGATCACCAGATAGCAGTGAAATTATTTTAATTGCATTTTGGTTAATAAAAATAAATATTATTTTTGTGTGTTACATTTTCATTTGTACAAGTACGAATTGATTTCAAAGATCCTGTTTTTGCCTTGATAGTTCTAACTTCTGGTATGGTCACTTTCTTCGAATATCTAATATATAAAATTCTCGTGTCACAGTTTTCGTGCCCATACTCCTCCGAAACAACCTGACCGATTTTGATGAAATTTTTTGTGCTTATTCGGTAGCTATGAGAATCGGCCAACATCTATTTTTCATCCCCCTAAATGTTAGGGGTAGTCCACCCCTAAATTTTTTTTTTTATTTTTTAGACAAAATTTTTAATTACTATTTTTTTATGATACAACGTACAAAAATACATACAATCCTAAATTTTCACCCTTCTACGATCAACCCTTATTTTTTAATAGCTATTTTAGTAATTTAATCATTTTTCATCTCCGGTCGATAACTGATCAATCGTCATTTAATAAGTTATCCCCGCCAGATATCTACAGGTGTCACTTCTGACCCAGTAAACAGCACGGAGTAGGGATGAGAACGAAGCCGGTCTTCTGTTTCTCTCACACAATTAGACTTCTCTCACTCCCTACACAGTTGTCGGCCATCGTTATTGTTTGTGCATCAAGTGTAGTAGTAACGTTGACAATTATTATTTTGCTAGCTCAGTGTAACTCTCATATTAACTATTAATCATTCCTAATCACTTCAAAACACGGAGATTTATGGCTTTAATAGGTAAACTCCAAAAATATAAATAAAAAAACGTAACAGATATTTCTTGATTATAGGGCGAAACGAAGTTCGCCGGGTCTTCTAGTATTATCATATAATTCTCTTCTAGAATAATAAAGAAACATGAAATACGCGATTTGTTAGTAAAATGTTTTTGTGAATAAAATATGTACCAAAATATATTTTAATTAACATGCATAGAACTTAAATAAAACTACGAATTTTTATGATGTATTCGGTTTTGTCTTTGTGAAGTTACCATTTGTATCATGTAAATCAACGTTTTTAAATATTTTCTATAATAAAATAAGTTATAAATCTCAATATGGAAGCCAGTTTATACTCTAAAGCCAGTTCTTTTTATATTTCAGGTCAATATGAAGAGCAGTGATGTAGTGCTAATTTCGTTACTGAGTATAGGCGCTGTGGCAGTTTTGTTCGCTGTAGCTGCTTACCTTTATATAAGAAGAAGGCGACGGAAGAGGGAAGACGATGAAGATGGCACAAGCTGTGCTATCAGGTAAGAGAATTATTTTCAAGCTGGTAAAAATTCTAACCAATAACGTAATAGAGTTCTGTGTGAGGTTCTTTTAATCAAGGCAATAATAGGAAGGATTAAGAATTAAAACATAGAAAAATGTAAGCGTAGTCATGACGCAAGGGACTTTTATGATGTTGAATGAGTTTCTAGTCCGTTTTGGAAATGTGCAAAAATTTTTTTTGTTCAAATCTAATTTTAAAAAAATTATAGGAATACCTACATAAATCGGAGCTATTCTCATATATTATGTAGTCTCTTAAGTCAAGTTTTTTGTCTTTTATTTTGTATGTTACGTATCTATCTTCAATCTTTAACTTACATATAAATTTCATTGAATTATGAGTTTGAAATCGCCAACCCGTCTTGAGCAAACGTGGTGATTAATGCTCAAATCTTCTCCACGTGAGAAGAGGCCTTTGCTCAGCAGTGGGCTCTGATAGGCTGATGATGATGAGATGTTATCAAGATTTCACGACTTTTTAATTTGTTATATTTTTGTACAGTCTTAAACTCTTTTAGAAATTGTATCTAATTTGCTCTAAAACTATGATTGGTTTATGTCTTCAATAAAACAATTTTCTTTCCAAAAGTCTCAAAACCCTTAAAGAAAACGGTTAAGATTAAGAGCACTCAAAGGGCTATCGATGGGCTCGGGATACACTTATCGTCTTTTGTTATTGAAAAGGCTTTTATGAGTTTCAATTTCTTTCCGTTATATTATAAAGTTCTTATATACATTGACTACTTGAAAATAAATTATAAATAATATTCATAAGAACTGTATTCCTTTTTCTGAAGGACTAGATCTTTTCAGAATGGACTAGATTTTTCTAGATTATGCACGCATTTTTTTAGGATAGGTATATTACAGAATGCTATATTGTTTCAGAATTTCCTGAATAATGTTTTGAGCGACTAATATTGTATGTAATATCTTGGTCAATTTCATACTAAAATATTTGTTAACTTCATATTGCCATCTTGGGAATATGTTGCTATGGTTAGTTGTGAGGATTTACTCTACTCTGATATTTAATATTTAATACTAGATTTCGGCCGTTACTTTTTTATAAGACAGGTCCGTCATTTTAAATATTTATGGTCATAAAGGTAGGTTGACTATTTCAAGATATTTGGATACAAATTGACGTCCATCTCGATTTAAAAGTTACTACTTGGTGCAGTAACATGTACAGCTTCTTTGCATTATGTTTATATATATGTTATGTATATATATGTATATATATATATATATGTACTCGTAGGTATAAGAAAAATATGTATCAATATATTGAAGTACATATTTGAATAATATATATCATATCTTGTTATTGAGTTATGTCTCAAAGAATTCATGTGTAATAAATAACATGAAAGAAGACTTACATATGTATATACAGCACACATTAGGATAAATAGTAACTCAATATTTATTGTATTTTTAAATGATTTTATAAGAGAAGTACAATTTAAATTTTCAACTACTTTTTATATTTATTTAGATATATTTTTTAATTGTTTTCAAATTAGTCCGGTAATATTTTTTTCAGTTCATTTAGCAATTTTGTTTGAGAAACGAATTCCTTCCATAATATTACCAAATACCTCATGTTAAATTTCAAAACCTTATAAGATTTATAATATTTTCCTAGTGTTATATATTCTAATATTCTCAATTATTATACTAAAGAGACGAAACTTCTCATCATTCCATGGATTCACCGTGCGGGTGTCGGGTTCATCGTCGTAGTGAGAGGAGCTGCAACAGTGACTGGGACTTGTGACCCAGGCGTAGGTTTAAGGGACCCCTTAACTAACGCGCGTTATACGCTCACTTCCTCTGTCCAAGCTCCTCTCCCTACCTTACCAATTTTGAAAGTATGTTATTTTATACGAATAACTTTTTGCCAACGTATTATCTATCGTAAATTTTTTGAATTCTGGTTTATAATTAAATAACGGAATTGTATATATTTTATGATCTTGAATATAAATCGTATTATATTGATCGTAGGCGTAAAATAGGGAAAAATATTTCGTGAGATAAACAGACAAGTAACAAACGATAGTGAACAAACAAAAACATAAAATAGCATGAAAAGGGAAATACATGTAGAAATATGGTTCCGTACATTGAAAAAATGTTTTTGATTGCAAAGAATGCTGATGAGGTATGATAAAAAATGTTATTTTATTTACAGTCATAAGATAGAAACTAAGATCTTAATTTAATTTAATATGTTTTGCGAAGCGCGCAAAACTATTGTAAAGATTGGTATAGGATTTTGTATCTACGTATTAAAAGGTTTTGGTCTACTAGAATTCTTTATTGCAAAAAAAATATATATAAGTTAAAAAAAAAACATATTTTGTATAAAAACGGAAAAAAAGAATAGTTTTTTATTTATAAACGGAATTTTATATCTTATAAATGTATTTACTATAATTTAGATTTTAAAGATGTATTCATTGTTAAACAAAAGTTATTGTTGAAATATTATTTAATATTAATATAAGTGACAAATTAATTCTATATTAGCAATAATCTAGTAAGATTAGGCTAACTTAATTCCAGCATGCACAGATTTCTTTGTAATATTTAAATTAGAAATTCATGTTGGCATTTACATAAAAAAAAATTTTTTCTTGCATACCGTTGGTAGTGTCAATTTAATATTATTTTATATACGGAACCCTAGAGTGAGAGAATCTCTTGTGTATTTTATTACCTCATAAAACTTTGAGACATTTCGTCAGTTTTCCTTTTTTTTCTTATATTTTCTACTTCAGTATCATCGTATAAAAAATATATCGAGAACTGTGATAAATAAAATATTGATAAAAGTTTTTTCGTCTTATTGACTGTAATTCAAATAATTTCTAAGTTACTATTGATCTTTTTTGTTGCTATTGAAGTTATTTGTGCGTCTAATTTAGTAAATACTCATATATCAAATTTTACTATACAATTCTCCCGTTTCAAAAAATTATAAAAAAATCAATAGGGAGCATAAAATAAAAGGTTCCAATTAATACAAAATAAAAGCTTTGATGTCTTTTCACTAGCTAGATCATTTCAAAAAACCAATAAAATTTCAATTTCTGAAATTTTGTCGAGTTTAATGAAATATATTTAGTATGCAGAGTTTTCCAATTTTATTGACCGCACTTCAGTTTTATAGAAAATAAATAATAATATACATAAATAAATGTAAAATATATATTCGTATAAGGAATAATATATAAATTTTAGACATATTCATGAAATTATACGGTATTAAATTAATTAGTCCCAGGCACTGTTGTAGCTCCTCTCCCTACAACGATGGAACCGGCGCCCTCACGTTTAATCCATGGAATGCTGTAAAGTTTTTATGATTGACAACACAAATATAATCCGAAATTAAATTTCCTAGTTCTAAATTCTCTCCAAGTACTACGTTGCGAATAAATTAATCAACTTTAATCAAGATACTACTAGGAATAAATTATTATAATAATCCCTACTAATATTACAAATGCGACAGTAACTCTGTCTGTCCGTCTGTTACGTTTTCACACCTAAACCACTGAACTGATTTTAATGAAATTTGGTATAGAGATAGAGTTGACCTTGAGAAAGAACATAGGATAGTTTTTATCGCAGACTTTTAAAAAGTTCTCTTGGAAAGGAGATATAACCAAACTTCACGCGGGCGAAGACGCGAAGCTAGTCACAAAATAAATTAAAAATAAAAATTGGAAGGTATTTTACAAGGAGCTTATATTAAACTTACAGTTAAAATAAATTTGTTCTTATTTCTTACAAACAGAAATTAAACAACGTGATAATTAACAACATATTTAGATTCATACCAATTCTTCAATCAACGTATTTTTCTGTGGTTCATGTACTGCTGGTTTTTCAGCCATTCACTTAAACTATCCACTCTAAAATGAAATTCCATTGATGATCTGATCATCTGGAAAGAACCTATATGTTTCCACTTCATACTGTTACTGTACTTGATGGCTACAGGTAAATTAATAGAGATTGAAACGATAATAATCAATGAGTTGCGAACATGCGTTAAAACTACATCAAATGTCGAGGTTTGAAATAATTTAATTTAAATGAATATAGCAGATTTGATTTGAAATTTAATTTAAAACTATACAAATCTGGCTAGTCCGAAAACTAGATGACGTATGTAGTATTTTGTACCGCATAAAGTTCTTCTTATGGTGAGCGGAGATTAAGCCATTGTATGTAACTATAGTTTCTTGCATCTTTCATTCTTCAAGTTGCACAATAACATAATAGGGCATATTTTCTGACATAGACATGGGATTAGGTTAGGCTAGATGACCACTACAAGCTTTTGGGTTAAGTTAGGCTACTCAATATATACTCTTATATACAGGCAATCCATAATTTTAAACCTATGAAAATAGAAAATAATTATTTTATAATAAACAGAAAAACTACTATTACTTTGAAATTTTAATAGAATCTAAATATTTAATAACTAAAATAATTTTTAAGGAAAATTAAATTTATTAAATATTTATTGAAAAATTACAAATGAATCTATTAAAATGTGGAATTATATTGATAAATAGCTATAATGTGTAGTATCTGAATATGTAATAAATTTATATAGTAACAGAAAATTCGTAATTTTATTTTTTCATGTTATTAAATTTAATAAAAATTTCAATCAGATTTTATGTATTTCACATTCATTCATTGTGATCTACAAAAAAATATGAATGACATAAATCAAGCTCTCTAGATAAACATTTACAAGGCTTGATTTTTTCTTTTCTAATACCTGGGGATTGTGAAATAGATACTTTTTTACAAATTTTATCACAGCTTTAATTTTGTTGATTAAAAAGACCATAATAAAGATTGAAATTTTACTTTTCAATTATAATTTTAACCTACGAAAATGTAAGCAAGTTTAATTGAAAATTATTGTTTCTACTAGCTTTCCGTCCGCAACTTCACCCGCGTGGAGTTCGGTTATATCACGTTTCCAAGAGAACCTTTCAAAACTCTGGGATTAAAGACTAGCCTATGTTCTTTCTCAAGGTCAACTCTATATCTGTACCAAATTTCATTAAAATCAATTCAGTGGTTTAGTCGTGAAAGCGTAACAGATGGACAGACAGAGTTACTTTCGCATTTATAATATTAGCAGAGATTAGTAGGGATTTCTTAATTATTGAAAATAACGTTCACTAAAAATCTTGTAGGTAACAAATAATTAATTTCACTGTAAATAGTCTTAATTCAGAATATCATATGAGAAAACCTTTTTCTTGATAAATTCATGGCCCGTCGCAACAATTCCCGTAGAAAACGTGTCCAGGTAAAGTTTTATCCAATTATTTGCCAATAACCTTACCTAATAACCCGATCTGAGTGACCTTGAACTTCTCGACTCCCAATTCTGACAGTACGTGACTTTTACGACATACAACTGTAGATATATTGGGGCTTTTGTACCTTATTCTCGTTAAACGATATAAAGTCGGATTTTATCAGTGAATGGTTTAAAAATATAGTTATTTACTATCTAAAATATAATAAAAAGATTAGTTATTGTTCCTACCTAACAGTATAGGAATAATTTTGTCGTATTTTATAAAATTTATAATTATTACTATACGATACAGTGGTGGCCTAGTGGTTAAAAGGCACGCCTCTCGTGCACGAGGACGCAGGTTGGATCCCATCAAGTACCAATGTGATTTTTCCGAGTCATATGTACTTTCTAAGAGTATTTAGACATCACTGGTTAATGCATTCACAAAGAGGGTTGATGTCAGGCAGGCAACCGGTCGTAAAAACAATTAGCCAAAACTATTCACAACATGTAAGGCAGACCCTGGCTGAAGCTGGGAAATTGCCAGGTAGAAGAAGACCATATAATTTCGTGTCGTTTTATTATCTAGTGTTTGATGACATAGTAATTTTCTTTCTTTAGTCGACAATTCTAAACTAACATAACACTCGTCCTGTTAGAGCATCCGGGCTCGAAGCAGGAATTGAACTCGCAGGTAGAAACTTTCCAAAATACCGTTTATGACTACTTTAGCGAGCAATATCCACCACGTAATCGTTATGCTCGCAAAAATAAAGACAATTCGTTCAAATTAAAAATGCGGAAGAAAAAACGGGAATTAATAAAAAATCTACGTATAGCCAAAGCTCTAGGCGACAATCACCTTAGTCATCAACTAGCTAGGGCGTTAAGGTCAATCCTTAAATTAATCCAAGGAATATCGGCGCAAACTGCAGAATATCGCGATAATTTTGACCGGGCAAAACAAGAAGTAGATTTCGATAAAAACCCTTTTGAGTATTCGAAAACCATTTTTAAGAAAGAACGCGGACAGCTTCTCTTGACCAACGATCAAATTTACGACCATTTTAAGAGCACATACGAAGTGCCTAAAAGTTTAAGACGGTATAGGGATCCAAACGATCAAAAACCTGAATTACCTCGAATCGAATTCCACGGCATTCCACCAACGCTAGAGGAACTAAGTAGTCAGATCAAGAGGAAGTCGTCTAAATCTGCACCGGGACCCGATGGTATCCCATATATAGTCTTTAAAAAATGTGCATCGGTTCGTAAACACCTCCTAAATATATACGGTAAAATCTGGTCAAGGAAGCAAATCCCGGAGTGCTTCGGGAAAGCAATTTTTGTCCTCATTCCCAAAAAAGATCGAGTTACTGATCCGAAAGATACTAGACCGATAGCTTTAACAAATACTATATCGAAAATCTTTTTCTCGGTTCTACAAACGAGAATGACGCGATTCATGCTCAGCAACAACTATTTTAGGCCAAATCACCAGAAAGGGTTTTTACCCGGGATTTCTGGATGCTTAGAACACAACACCTTGCTGTCGGAGAGTTTAAAAGATGCTAGAAAAAGCGAGCGGCAAATCACTGTTTGTTGGATAGACTTGGAGAACGCGTTCGGGTCGATACAACACGAATTGATGCTATTCGCGCTTAGATGGTACAACTTTCCACCCCTAGTTAGAGATATGATCGCGTCGTATTACTCAAAATTAAGGTTTTCTATAATAACTAAAGAAGGCCCTTCAAAAAGTTTGAGTTATAATGTAGGACTGTTTCAAGGTTGTTGTCTATCTCCAATTGCGTTTAATATCGTAATTAACATCTTAGTAGACAAATTAATCTGTAACGAGAAAAAATGGGGTTATCGGTTTAAGTTTAATAATAAATACACGGAATCCATTTTAGCCTTCGCTGACGATCTCGCAATACTGACACGTAACCCCAAACACTGTCAGGTACTATTGGATGAAGTGGATAAATTCTGTGAGTGGACGGATGGATTGAGGACAAAACCCAGTAAATGTCACTGTCTGTGTCTTGGTAGGCGGAATACAAGATACACCTCATACGATCCGGGACTATCGTTAGGCGGTCAATGCATTTCTACGGTTACGGAAAATGCACCATTTAAATTTCTCGGTCGTAAGATAGATAATATAGGCCGTACTCCATCTTTAGAAGGAATAGTAGATAGCTTTCTGAACGATCTTAACAAGGTAGATAGCCAACTGATAAGTAACGTCAAAAAAGCGTGGATCTACGAGAATTACTTAACTTCACGTTTGAATTGGCCTTTCCTCGTCTATGATTTTAATAAAACCCTTTTGTCAAAGTTAGATGCAGGCGTCATAAAGATGTTGAAGTTGTGGCTCGGGCTCGCTCTAACGGCTGATTCATCGGCGTTATTTAGGGGAAGCAATAGTTTTGGGATGAGTCTAAAAAGGCCATCGGAGCTCTATAAACACCTAAGAGTTTCCAAGAGATATATCCTGGGGAAATCCCATGATGACATAGTGACATCGCTCCCAAAAGATGAAAATGCCCCCGAGCTAGAGTCACGACTTCAATTCCATAAGCAATTTATGATAGGAGCGCAAAGTAACAGAGCGGGGTTAGGATCAAATAGGAAAGTCCAAGATGCGGATATATTGAAGTCTTTTATTCGGCAAGACGAGAATGATAAATATAAGATACATGCAATGAATTTAGAAATGCAGAACGAGTGGTTAGACATAGGAGATTTTTGCATCCCATTAGCATTAAAATGGCGCACTTTAATTTATGATTGGTCGCCAGCATTGCTAAAATTCTATCTCAATGCGTTCCAGATGACTCTCCCAGATCAGAGTAATTTAGTAAGATGGGGTAAAAGTACCGAAAAAACTTGCTATATCTGTGGAAAGGCAGTTGGAACTGCTAAGCATCTGCTGGTGGGATGTAGGGTACTCCTTGACAGCGGTCAATACTCGCGTCGTCACGATAGGGTTCTAGAAGTCATACGTGAAGCGGTTAGTCTTTCGGTAGCCAGAGCGCAAAAGGGAATAACCACAAACGAACGATCAGTAGGTTTTGTGAGAGAAGGCACTAGGGCTACAAAATCAAACGTCAAGCCTTACTCCATCCTTAAAGCGGCGTCGGATTGGACTATAATGATGGACACGTATGAAAAACAATATAAAATAACCGAGGATATTTGTGCGTCGGCCTCCAGACCGGATATATTTTTGTTTTCGCGAATTTTAAAGCGCGTAGTGATGATAGAGCTTACGGTCCCTTGGGAAACCAACATCCCCAAAGACCATACCATCAAGGTCAACAAATATTACGAGCTCACAAACGAACTCACTCGAAATAGGTTCGTAGTAGATTTGTACGCGGTAGAGGTGGGAGCGAGAGGTATAACAGCGAAATCTCTCTATAACCTACTAAAGGACTTGGGCTTGTCCAGAACTCACATTAATGCATTCTTGGAACGTACATCGAAGGCAGCCCTAGTAGGTTCTTTTCAAATTTGGTTAGGTAGGGAGAGGAGCTTGGACAGTGGAGGTGAGCGTATAACGCGCGTTAGTTAAGGGGCCCCTTATGATTAACTGATAAACCTACACTTGGGTCGCAAGTCCCAGGCACTGTTGAAGCTCCTCCCCCTGCAACGCGATGGACCCGGCACCCGCACGGTGAATCCATGGAATGCTGAGAAGTTTCGTCGTCTTAACTTTAAAGTAGAAAATCTTGAGAGTTCTCCAGTTGAGAGCCTCAAGCGTCTTGTCTAGTGCAATCTTAGATGCGGCAGACTCAATTATTATAGTAGTAGTAGTTTTAATAGAATAAGGAATAGAAGTTACATATGTATGTATGTGTGTATGTGTATCTATGTGTGTGTGTGAGTATGTGTGTGTATGAAAAGTCCTGAAAGTTCTCAAAATTACCGAAGAATTTTTATTTTATTTTATTGTACAATTATTCATACTCGTATAATAAAATGTTTCTGTTTAATATATATGTTTAGCATTTTGTTTATAATTTTCGGAGTATATAAATTTTAGGGTGGATTATTTTGATCAAAACGCCAAAGCAACCGCGAAACTAATCTGACCGCTTGGTATCACTGGAGTAGATTTATGGACTTATGTGAAAGATACTCGCAGTAACTGAAGTTTATATGTATGGTTAAAATATAATAGTTCTCCATTATAGTAACTTTTGGAAGAAAACTAATAACAAATTAAAATGTTTTCTGGTTTTTATTTTAGAAGAAAAAAGACATTTTCGTAAAATTCTTAATTTTAGACGAAATTATTAATTTAGTGTTTAAGAATAACTTTTGAATTTTATAAATTATATTTATTAAAATGGCTTTTTTTAAATAAATTATTTATTTATTGAATATCCCAATTTAAGGGAAAATTTATAAAATTGATTGAAATCGCTAATATATACCTACAATAAAATTTGCTCTTTTTTAACATAAAGGATATTAAGTGGTTTTCAGGAAAATTATCTTGATTTAGAATTCTCTATTCAGATTTTATATTTTCAATACATTTTATTAAGGTCTAATATTGATTGACGTGAAAATTCTTACCATAAATTACTACAAATAAGAGAAAAACTATAAGAAATCAGCACTTATTTAGCAATTACGTTCTCATTAAGATATATAGACACAAAGGAAATTATAGATAATCAATTTTCATCTTTATTTCATAACTTTAAGGTTCATTTTTAAACGCAGTATATTATCTAAATAAATCTTGCATTGATCGCACGAACATGATTTCTCATATTAGCATTAATAAATGATTTAAAGAAAAAGGATCCTTATATTTTATGCATAAAGTCGATATTTATTATTTTTAATTACGATGATGAGTTGAATAAAAGGTAAAGAGTTTGCTAAACTAAATTAGCCTTTATAATAATAGGTATAGAGTCCATGAAGATAGTGAGGCTTTTCCAAGCATTAGTATGCAACGTAGGGAAATTCAAATCTTATGCTAATAATTCTGAACCTCAAATTATAGACTATGAAAAGCAATGGCTAAGTAACGGCTCATAGTTTAATAAAAGAAATGTTTTAGCTGTATAATAAAACCTCTTTTTTATTTTCTATCTAAATAAAAAGATAAAATAAAAAAAAATCTGCATAGATTTCCATTACATTTTGTTTCTAAAATCTATATAGATTTCATCAATTAAGATAAAAAATAATGTAACACAAAAAATATATATGTATCTATGTTTTTTTCCAAAACTCTATAGAATTAGTTTCTCAAGTCATTTATATTAATACATACAATTTAAACCATTGAAAAAATAATACTACTACACATATAAAAATTCAATAAACAACCCTGCCATACAAAAATATGCAGCATTTGACAAATTTTCCACTCTCGTTTTAATAGTTATAACTTAAAATAGTTTAGACTCTATACCTGTCCTTGTTAACTACTACATATATATAAATATAAGCAGTTATATATAATAAATAACAAGACCAATTGACAGACATTTACATCTCGTCTGTCCGCGATCACGGTTGCTGAAAAGTAACCGAAACGTCGGGAGCATGTAGATACGAAATCTCTCATCATTCAACGTATTCACAGTGCGTGTGTCGGGTCCATCGCTTTAGTGAGAGTAGGAGTAGTAATAATATTAGTTTCATTTAAATGAATACTAAGTCTTGAATGTATAAACTCTATGAATATCATATGTCTTAATGAAAGCCAGTCTATGTAAATAGTGTTTCCACTTCATATTCCAAGGTTGGCAAACAGCGTTGTCCCCATCTTAAGAACTTCATCAAATAAATTGTAACAGGTATGCGGTACATACCTGTTACAATTTATTTGATGAAAATAATATATTATTTTTATATCTTTTAATTTATTTTATATTAAATTTCAATACATTATAAGTTATATGAAATTTAAAAAAACCTACTTATATTTAAAAAAAAATATTTAAATATTATGTTTAAAATTTTTTAAGAGACAGTAATTTCATTTCCGAAATTGAATATTTTTCATGCATATATTTAATAATTTTGAAAAATATATATTGGCTTATTAATTATTCATTAAAAAATATAATAGTTTTAATAGTATGAATATCTTAAAATAAGTGCATTCAATGAAAAGCCGATTAAAATGTCCGTTTGTCATTATAATAAAAACAAATTATATACTGTAAGTGGAGGAACTCGACTGTTTTCCCTCTGCAACCTACGAAAACAGGACCATGGAAAATTAAGCCTTATTACGTAATATTACAGTCGTTTTTATACTTAGCAACATTTTAGGGTAGATTGGTAGAATTTTGTCATACCAAATTAGACTCTAATGCCTAAGTATAAAGTTTATTTTCAGCTGGACCATTCTCTTGATACCAAAACGCTTGGACCGGCAAAACTCAGTCTATTCACGAAATCGGAGGTTTGAAGTTGTTTTGACTCTGTATTATTAATACATTGTCCTAAAATATACAAATCGAATGTTCCATATTTAAAATGTGAATCCAATAATCCAGACTCGGCGTTACAATTTTAAAAGTTTGTGCTATTTTTTTTTATTGAAAAAGTTTTTTAATAGTGTAGGTTGAGGTTTTAGTGGTTGCTATTGAAACTTTAAGGATGAGTTTGAAAAGGTACGTAAATGCTCACATAATACTATTGTTCTGTATATGCGTCTGTAGATCTAATTAAATTCGTCTTATTTTAATTTCCATTTCATTCCATTTCCCTATTTATTTATTTTGAAATATTAGTACTTTTCTCTAAATTACATTTTGCAGTTATATATTTTTTTCGTAGCCGTTGTATATAAATCATGTTTCCACAGCATTCTTAATAAATAATGTCAATCATATAACAAATCCAAAAATCTATCCAGCTTTATTATACGGGTAGAAACACAGATAAAACAGACATTACTGTTACATATAAAAACTTTTTGGAATATATACTACTCGCGTCAAAATTACTATCATTAAGAAAAGGCTTGTTATTTTTTCTGCTATAAATTATTTAATTCTAACTCTATTATTTTTTCAAATATTAATGAGTTTTAGTGTGAAATGTATTAAATATTAAACGCCTGTAATTTAATTTAATTTAGTTAATCATAGTTGGAAATCAATGTCCTTAGCGTCCCTATTTTTGAACGTAAGTTTGTTTCTGATGCAACTGCGTCAAAAGAATTTGATAGACTTATTTATCAGATATCAGAATTATACAATTTTATTATATTTTCATCGCAGGATAAAAGAAACCTATATTAATTTTATGGATTTATCAAGCACTCCATCTTAAAAACCAGTAAATACCAAACTCAGTTCTGTAGTTATTGTGTAATTAGATAACAAACGTTCACACATATATATGTACATATATGTATATTAGTTCATGTTCTAACAAAGTGAATAATGATATGATTTCGTTCAAGTGTCTTTGATATCAAATACTTTATTACTATACTCTTTATATACAATTTTCATTATATTTAATGTACTATGTACAGAATTTGGGTAAGTACTGCAAACTTTATATGACTTTGTATCAAAGTATATGTTTAATATATGATTTGTACGTGTGAGGAATAGCTGTCGTAGAATATCCTCATTCTGCTTGAAGTAATAACATGAAAATAAGTAAGGGTACATACATACACACACACACATATACATATGTATATATATATGTACATTAGTTTTACAGTTGTTGTATGTGGTAGTCAAATAACTTTGTATTTGCTATTTGAAAGGAAAGGTTTACATGCAGTGTTGCGAATGCTCCAAAAATCATGTATTTATGCTAGTGTGAAATTAAAACACAAAATAAAGCTATATGTATCTTATTTTAAACATATAAAAGATAAAGATAAATAAAATAAATAAGGCTATAGATTTAGATTTAACTTACATTTGTAAGAAATACGATAGTGAAATCTAAGACTTTCACGAGTATTCATTTTAATAAAAGTAATATGTATTTTGGATTGACTACACGTTTTTGGCGGAAGATGACAAATAATAAGACAAATTGACAGACATTCCGTGATCACGGTTGCTGAAAAGTAACTGAAACGTCGGGAGTATGTAGTTTAAAAAAATAATAAAACACGCGTAGTACATCCAAAAATATTAGTTTTATTTTAAAACATGTACAATAACTTAATCATGACTTTTATATGAAAACGTGATATTTCAGCAAAGCTACTGAGATTTTCCATAATAAGTAGTTATTAGACTAAAAAATGTTCAGGTAACCTCAATTATTATGTATGGTAGAGCATCAAGTCTTAAGGAAGGTCGATTTTAGGAAACTTTTATCCTGACTGTTCCTCAATTATAACACAGATAGAGTAGGTCACGAAGCGGTACATGTTCAGAATCCCTGGAGGATAATTTGACCGCGATATAAACTCTATAGCATTTCCCAGTGAATGTGTATGAAATAAAGACGTTTAAAATAGGTTTTTTGCAGGAATTGTTAGTATTTTGGTCTATTTTATTGTTACTTTTATGTTTTTAATTAATCTTGTAAGTTTGAACGGGGTTCGAAATATTTTCT